GTGTGTCATTTCACTGATGCAGCAAAGCTCTACCGATTCGTCCTCCACCCACACGCACAGTGCACTTTGTACCCCGTCTTGCTGAAAACACGCTACATGGCTTCATCTCGAAACATGACACTTGCCTCACATTCAGTTTGTCATACTTTCAGTGTCAGGTGTGTTTCTGAGAAAACAGGAAAGGGGCTGTATGAGTGGTCACTGCCCATTTGAGGTAGAAATTTGTGTTTGTATCTTCACTTTAACCACATATATGCCACATAACTAGGGCAATAATATCAATCATTTATTTTTATTCACAGACTTCTGACTTTAATATTGTGAATTATTGTGTTGTTTTTTTTGTTTGTTTGTAATTACACCTAAAACAGACGTTTCGTTTTATTAAGAGAGCAGGTGGTAGTCAGCTCGCCTCTAAATCTCTTGAAGCTTGTAACAACGTAGAAAGGAGCCTTTTTTCTTTTAAAAAGTGTTTTTGTTTTTGTTTTTTTATTTGCATGCGGAGTAATTCTGCAAATATTTGTGAAAGGATGGGTCGCTCTCAGGAGCTCAGTGAATTCAAGCTAGGATGCACCTGTGCTACCAGTCCAGACATTTCCTCACTAGTGGAATTATAACAAAGCAACTGGGAACTGACAGAAGTGGTAGGCCTTGTAAAATCACAGTGGATGCTGAGGTGCATATTGTGCAAACGTGAACAACTTCAGCTTCATGGACTGGGTTTCCATGGCTGAGCAGCTGAATCCTTACATCACCAGGCACAGTGCAAAGCGTGGGATGCAGTGGTGTAAAGCACACTGCCACTGGAGCAGTGTGTTCTCTGGAGTGACCAATCACGTTCTGTCTGGCAATCCAAACGATGAGTCTGGGTTTGGTGGTTCCCAGGAGAACGGTACTTATATGTCAAGTGTAAAGTTTGGTGTGGGGTTGTTTTACAGAAGTTGGGACTGCCCCCTTTGTTCCAGTGAAAGGAACTCTTAATGTTTCAGGATACCAAGACATTTTGGATAATTTCATGCTCCCAACTTTGTGGGAACAGTTTGGGGATGTCCCAGTGCACCTCTGGAAGAATGGACAAAAATAAATGCTTTCCTAAACTTTATGTAAAAGAAGAGTTGAATCTGTTAAAGCTGCTAAGGTTTAGACATCAAATTAAACCTTATGGAATAAAAATGGGATGTCACTTAAGAAGTTCATATGTGTTTGAAGGAAGACGGATGAGTAGTTTTTACTATATACTGTGTCTTTCCTTTGTTTATCTATCAGGACGTGAGGGTAGATCTTAGAAGTTGGTACATGAAGTCAGATTTCAGCAAAGAAACTAACTCAGTACATGTGTTTCTTTAATATGTTAACAAAGGTCATTTCAAATTTCTGTTGCTATTAGTGACTTCGTTTTACATAGTGCTAGCTGATAATAACTTTTCCTTCCCATCTGTTTGTCCCTTCAGGATCTTCACTCTGTATAGCAAGTCGCTGCCGTTGGACCTGGCGTGTCGAGTGTGGGATGTGTTCTGCAGAGATGGTGAAGAGTTCCTGTTCCGCACGGCTCTGGGATTGCTTCGCCTCTACCAGGATGTCCTGACCAGCATGGACTTCATCCACATGGCTCAGTTCCTCACTCGCCTGCCTGACCTCATCCCTGCCGACCAGCTCTTCCAGCACATTGCTGCTATTCACATGACCAGCCGCAACAGGAAGTGGGCACAGGTGGGATTTTTTTCTAGATACTGTGCCTGAAAACATTGTTTACCCCCATCACTGCATCTTTGTTTTGAAAACCTTTTTTTTCACTCCTGCTTCCTCCCCTCAGGTCTTGCAGGCGCTGACGGAGCAGAAGAGATCGGGAGCGAGGTTGCCCGGTGCTGAAGCGTTGAGCTGAGATCAGAACATAACCAGCTCAAGCTAAAGTACTCAATCAGACCCCCTCCAGCCTTTGGAAAAGCCTACACTCTTGCCCAAGCTGATGGACCTGAGAGAGATCTTCTGTCTGGTTGGGGACACGTCCAGTTGAGGCTGCAGTGATAAAGCTCTTCTCCAGAGCCATGCCACTCCTCCGACTGGAACCAGAACACTGGAGGAGGTCTCAGTGACTGAGCAGGGGTGTGAAAAAGGAATATGAGGCCTTATTTAACTTCCAGCACCCCTCCTCTGCTCAGAGGCCCAGCAGCAAACTGGAAACTTGTAGCTGGGAAAGGCTGAAGAATGTAACACACACTCCCACATATATGAACCTACCCGACTGACTCAGTTCCCCAGAGACTGAAGGAAACCACAGAGATACCAGATACTACATCAACTCCTTCACTGCTGCCAGCTCTCAGATCCTTTCTGTTTGATTCGGCAAATGAAGCTTAAATGTGTCTACAGCAATGTTCATCTCCGTAGTCAAATCTGTAAACGACATAAATATGTGAGGGGGTTCCTAGCTGTCTCTGTGCGTCTCCTTCTGCGTAGCGGCACCTTTTTTCACTCACTTTAATTTTTCTCACATTCCTTTGTGTCCTCCAGGTTTTTATTTCCTTTTGATCTGAGTTTGCTTTTCATTGGCTTGTAATCAGGACCAAATTGTCACCTTAGCTGTTCCATGAAGACAACTCTTCTGAACAGGGGGAGTTTTGTAGGAAGGTATGACACAAATGCACATAAGAAAACGTGGTGTGTTTGAGAGCACCGCGTTACAGTTAATGAAATGTTTTAGTTCATTAGAAGAGGTCAGAAGCTGCCTGTGTCAGCGAGACTGGAATAAATGAGGTAAAGTGTTAGATGTGGATTTCCCCTGTATTTAATATATTTGTGGTACATTAATTTGCATTAATTAATTAGCTTTTGTTATGATTTCAGACGTCTTGGTGTGAGTGTGAAGTCTTTTGTTCATTTATTTAGTATATTTAAGAAAAGGATGGATTTGGTCCAGACAAATGAAGGGTTGTCGTTGAGCTTCTGGCTGCACATTTGGAGCACTTTTAATCTCTTTTTAAACACATTCTAGATTGCAGGCTGTAACTTGAGGGGCTTTGCACGCATTTGGCTGCATAATTTGCGTGAATATGAAAGATGGAAAAACCATCTTTTTGGACAATAGCGATCACTTCACTGATAACGACAAAGTTCAAATACTCTGAAAGGTTCAGAACTTTCCACTGTAGTTATTTGACTTTGCATCCATCCTGGTACACTGTCCCCACTGGCAGTTGCCCTGATTGCATGTTTTTTAGTCATTCCTGGCAGGAGCGCTTCAGTCTTGACCCTGAGTTCTCAGGCTTAGTGAGGTACTCGTCCAGTTTATTTAAAAAAAAACTGTAGAGCTAGAAGGCTGTTTCTACGTGTCCACAAACATCTGTGATAGGATCTCTTTGAAGCTAAAAAGCTGATGATTGTGTTTGTTTTGGCGGAAGACACCTGTGTATTCATTGTGCTCTGAGCGGTACAAGATCAGAGCAGAATATAGTACAACTTCCATTTTGACAGTCTCATGCGTCGCCAACCATCCAAACCACAGAAATTTGGGTCAGTTTGAAGCTGAATTAATCTTTGCTCTATGCACAGGTTTGAGGTCTGTGCACGGCGCGTGTGGTCAAAGCAGGATTTCCAGGGAGCAATCTAAAAGTACTAACCACACTGGCCAATGAAATTAACTTTGAAGCATTAAGATGTGGAGACTCTGAGGAGTGTGCAGTCAGCTGTTGATGGTTTTTACTTTCAAGGCTCGCTATGCAGGAGTTTTGTTGTTGCTGTTTGCATCGTGGGTCTGTCGTCCTTGGCTTAAAAGTATTTTTTTCAATTGCCATCTGTGAAATGTAACCAAAACCTTCACTTTTTTTAATCAAGTGGCTGGGCTTTTCCCCCCGGCTGTCGTTGTACATTCTTAGTGACGTGCCTGGTGGACTCGCTGCACCATCTCGAGGTACAAATTTGGCTTTTCGTGAAAGAGCGGGACAACCCAGGTTTGGTTCCAGGTAATTTATGTGACAAATTAAGGATGAATGGTTTGGGCATAAAGTTTAAATAGCTACACCGCAACATACGGTGGGTCGTAAGTGGTTGATCAGAGAGATTCCTAAAGTTTAAAATCCTGCATAGACGGCCTTTAATTACTTGCATTAGCTGTGTGTAAACGTCACTGTTGCAGCTGTAGTTATTGACTGTTGGTCAGATTACTAGCCTGCAGCATCACTGTAACCATCTTACCCGTCATGTTGTGGAGCCCCTCACAGTTTTAAATCCTCCACTCTGGAGCAAAGTGCAGTATAACAGAGATTTCTTACTTTGGTTTAAAGATTTGCTGCTTTTTTGTTTTGTGGGGGCTTTAAATTGGTTGTTTTATAGAGTTTTTATTAGGGTAGCAGATCTGATTATTTGATAATAGAAGCAATATTTAGTTAGAGCCCTACACAAAGTTGGAAGAAGGAAGCGGATTGTTTGATATTGAGCGTCACACAGCCTGCAAATCTCTACTTTTAGTTTTTCATCATGAGATGACACAGATTGTGTTGTCTTTTGTGTCACAGTGGCATAGTGGAGAGAGATCTGGCCTAGATCTGCTAACTGCTGCGTGTGTCAGGGTATTGTGGCTGCTTAAAGTTGAGGTTGTCACTAAGTTGAGGCCTTGACACTGCATTCACACTGTGGTTATTGTGTCACTCCATCCTCACCAGTAGTGGGCGGAGCCAATGCTACGTTGATTGGATACACTGTGCAAAGTCAACACACTGCATTTCCTGATAATCTGATCTTTTTTGTGACAGTGATGACTTTGAAAGCCCATTGTGCACAAGCGTCATCAGAGGAATGAAAGGCCGATGTATGAGGAAATGTCTCGTCGTTCCTTGTGAAACTGCTTCACGTGCTGTGTTGTTCTGCTGAATTTGTGTGTGATGGAGTTCCAGTCGGTCTTTCCTGTTATATTAGTGAACTCAATCTCTTAACCCTCAGCTGAGGCTGTGCTTTCTTAAATCCCTGAACATTAGCTGAAGTAGAACGTTCAGTCTGGGCTTTAAAAACAGGAAGACTCCTTTCGTTTTGTAATTCATCATCGTCTCAGCCACATGGCCGCTGAAAGGGCGCCTGCTGTGTTTTTGACTCAGCACCGTGCAATACTATGTCTGATCATTCTTCTAAATGCACCCCCTCCCCCACTGTGGTGAAACACTGCAGGACTGCAGTTAAAGCTTTTTGCAAGCCATACGTGCAAGCCTTTGAGTTGTGCCTCTGATCGTCTCGTGGTTAAAAACGGGTTGTTGATTTCTCCACCTTTTTTAGGTAGCTGTTTGCAAACTGTAGTGTGTGTCTGTATGTGTATGTCTTGTTTGTGTGGTTAAGTGGTATCTTCACAATTAGACCTGTTAGTTACCAGTTAATTGTTACATTTAAAGCTGGCCTGGGTATCAGCTCTACCTGTCAACACTACCTTTTGATCCTTTGTGGTCAAAAAGAACATTCAAACTAATTTGGGTTGAAAGATATTTTAGATGATGTACCATTGCTTGATAATCATGTTGATTTGCTGGGTGTTCTCAGTCGTTTTGCATTGTCTGACTTGTATTCCTTTTTTTCCAAGAGACCTGTGTACTGTAGAGGACTGATAGATATACATGGAGACAGCAGAAGGTCACCGCGCAACTGTTTCTCACTTGAAATGTATATAAATGATGGTTTTATTATAATAAAAAGATGTACATATTCAACCAGGAGCTAGTTTGCTTCTTACTGGATTACAACTCTCCTCCTGCCTTGTATAGATCAACAGGTGGAAGTGAATTTCCCAGAGTGCCTTTGAGCCTAACCGGAGTGAGAACACGATGGCTTATGTGGTTAGTGCAACAGTCATTGCTGCAGCAATGCGTTGTGGTGTATTTACACTTTCTTGTGAAAAGGTTGCCACACTTTTACCTGAGATAAAATCTATATGTTAGTATTGAGTGATCCGCACTTTAGCTTTGATTCTCGATGAGTGGTGATAAACCACTGATTAGTGAACATATTACATAAATATCAAATGGGGTTCTCTGAGGCAGACCTCCTACATCAGACAACAGTGGCCCAGTTTTAAATGTAAAAATCTCCTGGAGTCCACAAAAGCCTTTAATCACAGATCTGATCCTCATATGAGCAGAGAGTGAAGTTTTGTCTTCATCTAAAATCTGTATCTACTTATTCAGCTTAATTCTCCAACATATGTAAGTATATAATTTAAACCCCATGGCATTGTTTTGTTAGCTATCTTTGTTTCTATGTGAATATTTCATGACTATTTCTAAGTAACATGTGCAGCTGCTACAAACAATCACTGATTTGTTTTACAGCTGATATATAAAACAAAAACAAAACGACAACAAAAACAAAAATGCATGAATCAAAAAGGTTCTTGTTAAGATCAGATCCGCGGCCATTTTCCTATAAACACTATGACCATGATAGGGTCAAATGACCACACACTGACCGTGTGACGTTTAAATGATTTGACAAATCGTATGAACAGGTCTAGAGATTGATCACCTTTTGGCAACACAAAAAAAAAAAAAGAATATTTCCCAACCAGTTGGCTGGTGGTTAGTTGAGGCTGATGCCAATCACTGTTTAAGTGCTTGTTAAAGCCCGAGAATACTCAGGAATAAATGTGTATTTCCCAACTGGTTAGCAAAATCCTCGATCGCTTTGCAAAGTAAAAAATGCATCTTTTGAAAAGTACTGGCTGCATTGCTGAAGCACAACATATAGTGTGAATGTTAACATTCTGGTTTGTGTCACACTTTCAAGTTTTAATAGTGCTCAGTTGTTAAGACAGTTAAGTTAGTTTAACAGTTAAGTTGGTTAAGTTGTGTCTTTCATGAAAACAACAGATGACTGCAGCAACCCGCAACCATAGCAATCGCAAGGACTGTTGTGGTACAGCA